TGTCTTCATTTTACTTATATTTCTCTGGCTCTATGGATTTAGGGGTATCGGTTATCTACTGTGGTCTTGAAGGGCTGTTTCATATTTTGTTTGTCTTTATTTAAAGTGGGAGCATTTCTGTGTAGACTGTGTGTGTCTAATAGTTTTGTTGTGGGGCTGTTCTCAGTACGGGTGGTTGCCATGTCTTTCTTCTGGTGTGTCGGCTGTTACCCCTTTGATGGGGTGTGGTTGGTGTTGTGATCAGAGCCTGCCCTGATTGTTGTTGTTGAGCAGGGCCTCCTTTTTTGTTCTGTGGTTGTCACAGCCTTGACAGGGGCCGGGTCTGCTCCCCTGTTGCTGGAATAGAAGCTCCTAGACCCGTTTCTGAGCTGTGGTGTGTGGTAGGCAGGCTTGGAGCAGTTCAGCTGGGAGGAAGAGTTGGCAGGAGACGTCCACTGGGAGGTCCCCTCTGTGGTGTTGTCTGTCACTTGTTATGCAGGCTTACAGAGTACTCTTTGTTGACACTGCCTTTGTCCCTGCCTTAGCTGTCGGAATGTTGGCCACCTGCTCTAATGTCCCCCAGGTTCTGGGCCCCAGGAACCACCAGTGCAGATCCACCAATGTCTGGCTCTAGGACCTGCTGTAGTGAGTGAGCAGTCACATACCTGAATCTGTGGTGCCCCACAGGGTTGATGCAGACCCCAGCCCCACCTCTGCATACAGCACTGTACTCCCTGGCCTGTTGTAAATACCCACCCTCCCTCCTGCCATGTGCCAGAACTCTGCTCACTGCCTGTTTGTCCCAGAGGCGCGGGTCCACAGAGGGTCCAGAGAGAGCAAATCCACCCTCTCTGCCTGGGGCTGTAAACTAATCTCCATCCCACCTGTGAAGCTGCAGGGCCCCTGGGTATGGATTCAGCCTTCAGCCCCACCTCCACACAGTAGTGATGGCTAGAACTAAGTGCCACCGCTCCTCTGGCGAGAACACACTGACAATGGAGCCAAGAGGAGAAAGCAGCTGTGACGAAGCTGCATTGCGCCCCACCCCCACCATGCACACCAGCAGTGGTGCTTTTTTATGGGGGTCCCAGTCTGTTCTGTTCTGCATACACCCCCAGCCAGAGCACACACTGCCCTCCAGTACCCTGAGGCTGCCTCTGTGCAGTAGGCCCCAGCCCTCTGCCTGGGCTCCTCTCTGATCTCCAGCAGCCCGTCCCGGCTTGTCCCTGACGGCTTGCGTCTGGGGCTGGGGATCACAGGGACCCTCTGTGCCAGTTTCCCTTAGTTCTATCTGCCAAGTTGCTGCCTCTGTCTCCATGGAGCCTTGGAAGCTCCACTTCTGTCCCTGCTGACCTCCTGCGGGAGAGTGGGGGTCCTAGCCTCAGGACGTCTTTCTTCCTATGCCGCTCCCTCCCTGCAGGACTGGTCCTGCACCAATCTTTTTCTTTTTCCTTTTTTCTCTTTTTCTTTTACCAGATTTTGTGAGAATCCCC